GTCAGGGAACGACCGTTACGACAGAGACAACCTATCTTTCGCTCGTGTCGCACGCGTTATAACCTAAAACAATAACACAACAATAACAAGACAGTGTCTGACCGCATGTTCCAGCTATTTATGAATGAGATGCTCAGTCTATATTTTATTTTAAGTCTATGGTTAGAACCAATTCTTTTTCTACCTTTTGCTGTATCCAGTCTGGTTTCTGCTGTGTAAGTCTAGGGGTCGTCATTTTCTTGACAACTTCTTGATCTTGTCTTGTTTTCAAGACAAGATCAAGACAAGAAATTATTTTTGGTTTTCAAGACAAGACAAGAAATTACTTCTCAAGATCAAGATTTCTTGACAAGAATTCAAGAAAATCTTGAAATTTCTTGAAAATATAAAATAAAAAAAAAATACGCATTTACTTAGGTATTCGTATAATATTATATGAATATCCATTAATTGATGGATAAAAAAGCAAAAAAAATAGTTGTATGACGTGGCACTTTGTCGGATGTCCAAAGTTGACATAAGTACGTCCAAAATCGGACGTCCAAAGTTGGCATACTGTGGGCCAAATTAAATTGAAACCTTTTTTAATGCCTAATAATTTTTGAATTTTTAAATGATTTTTTTATAATTTTTTGGATATGTTATGTTATGGCCTACGATATTAGAATAAAAAATCTTTGCAAAGCGGGTCTACTTCAGTAGCATACAGACTTTTTGAATTAACGTAAAACTTAAAAAAAATAATACATTTTAATGTACTGAATCTAAAATCTGAACTAAAATCTAATGCCACTGAAGTAATAAAGTAGTTTTTATCATTGTTGTTTTTACTATTTTTATCTGTAGTAGTATTATCACCGTCACTATATATACTGTCAAAGTCACTAATTAAACTTCTACGTGCAGGTGTCTAAGATGGTACACTCATTTTAATGTTAGATAATAATAATAATTAACAAAATTATGTAAATCTGATGATTTTGGCTACTGTAGTATAATGAGCCCAAAGTTTTTGAATTTTTTGAAAATTAGATGCCTGACCCTAGATTTTAAGCATAAAGCCAAAGAATATCTTAATACCCTAGAAGTCTCGTCTCGCATCAAAATCTGACCTGTCGATGGGGCCTCGCTTTGGCGAGCGAGGCCCCAACTTCGTGGGGCCTCGCTATTTTGCTCGGAATTGAACGAACAGACGCGCGGCGTTGCCTTGTTTTGTGTGTACTTTCTTGAATAGTTTTAAATTATAGTTTTAAATTTCATCTATTCCTATAATCAGTCTTTCCGCTCTCCGCTCTCCGCTCTCCGCTCTCCGCACTCCACAGTTTTCATATAATATTATCTATATAATTTCCGTGTTACAGTTTTGGGTGGTTTTGGTTACCGTACTCCTCCGAAACGGCTTAACCGATTTTGATGAAATTTTATATGTATATTCAGTAGGTCTGAGAATAGGTAGTTATATATTTTTATACCCTTAAGTAAGGGTAGTCCACCCCAATTTTTTTTATTTTGTGAAAAAATAATTTTTTTTTATTTGGCATTAAAAAATACAAACAACACTAAATTTTCACCGTTCTACCTTCATCCCCTATTTTTTAATAGGGGTTTTTTTAATTTTTTTGTTACCATCTCCGGAAACAGCTTGACCGATTTTGATAAAATTTTATATGTATATTCAGTACGTCTAAGAATAGGTTGTTATCTATTTTTATACCCTTAACTGATCAGGGTAGCCGAGAGGGTAGCCACCCTCATTTTTTTTTAGTTTTTGAAAAGAAAAAAATGTTTTTATTTTTTTATTTGGCATTAAGAAATACAAACAACCCTAAATTTTCACCGTTCTGCTATCATCCCCTATTTTTAATAGGGGTTGTTTTTATATTTTTTTGTTGCCATCTCCGAAACGGCTTGGTCGATTTTGATGAAATTTTATATGTATATTGAGTAGGTCTGAAAATAGGTTGTTATATATTTTTTATACCCTTAAGTGATAAGGGTAGCCCACCCCCATTTTTTTTATTTTTTGAAAAAAAATTTTTTAATTTTTTTTGTTTGGCATTAAAAAATACAAACAACCCTAAATTTTCACCGTTCTACCATCATCCCCTATTTTTAATAGGGGATGTTTTTTTTAAATTTTTTGTTAGCATTTCCGAAACGGATTGATCGATTTTGATGAAATTTTATATGTATATTCAGTAGGTCTGAGAATACGTTGTTATCTATTTTTATACCCTTAAGTGATAAGGGTAGCCCACCACCATTTTTTTATTTTTTGAAAAAAAAATATTTTAATTTTTTTTATTTGGCATTAAAAAATACAAACAACCCTAAATTTTCACCGTTCTACCATCATCCCCTATTTTTTAATAGGGGTTGTTTTTTAAGTTTTTGTTACCATCTCGAAACGGCTTAACCGGTTTGATAAAATTTTATATGTATATTCAGTACGTCTAAGAATAGGTTGTTATCTATTCTTATACCCTTAACTGATAAGGGTAGCCGAGGGGGTAGCCCACCCTCATTTTTTTTTTGGAAAAAAAATATTTTTTTATTTGGCCTTAAAAATACAAACAACTCTAAATTTTCACCGTTCTACCATCATCCCTATTTTCTAATAGGGATTGTTTTTTTTGTTACCATCTCCCGAAACGGCTTGGCCGATTTTGTTGACGTTTTATTATGTATATTGAGTAGGTCTGAAAATAGTTTGTTATCTATTTTTTATACCCTTAAGTGATAAGGGTAGCCCACCCCCATTTTTTTTTATTTTTTGAAAAAAAAATATTTTAGTTTTTTTTATTTGGCATTAAAAAATACAAACAACCCTAAATTTTCACAGTTCTACCTTCATCCCCTATTTTTTAATAGGGGTTGTTTTTTTAATTTTTTGTTACCATCTTCGAAACGGCTTAACCGATTTTGATAAAATTTTATATATATATTCAGTACGTCTAAGAATAGGTTGTTATCTATTTTTATACCCTTAACTGATAGTACGAGAGCAGGTAGCCACCCTCATTTTCTTTTAGTTTTTTGAAAAAAAAAAATGTTTTTATTTTTTATTTGGCATTAAGAAATACAAACAACTCTACCTTTTCACCGTTCTACCATCATCCCCTATTTTTAATAGGGTTGTTTTTATTTTTTTGTTGCCATCTCCGAAACGGCTTAGCCGATTTTGATGACATTTTATATGTATATTGAGTAGGTCTGAAAATAGGTTGTATATTTACAAACAACTCTAAATTTTCACCTTTCTACCATCATCCCCTATTTTCTAATAGGGTTTTTTCTTGTTACAATCTCCGAAACGGCTAGGCCGATTTTGATGAAATTTTATATGTATATTGAGTAGGTCTGAAAATAGTTTGTTATTTATTTTTTATACCCTTAAGTGATAAGGGTAGCCCACCCCCATTTTTTTTATTTTTTGGAAAAAAAATAGTTTAATTTTTTTTATTTGGCATTAAAAAATACAAACAACCATAAATTTTCACCGTTCTACCATCATCCCCTATTTTTTAATAGGGGTTGCTTTTTTAAATATTTTGTTACCATCCCCGAAACGGCTTGACCGATTTTGATAAAATTATATGTATATTCAGTACGTCTAAGAATAGGTTGTTATCTATTTTTTATACCCTTATGTGGTAAGCAGTAGCCGAGAGGTAGCCCACCCTCATTTTTTTATTTTTGAAAAGAAAAAAATGTTTTTATTTTTAGTTGGCATTAAAAATACAAATAACCCAAAATTTTCACTGTTCCATCATCATCCCCTATTTTTTAATAGGAGTTGTTTTTTTTTAATTTTTTTGTTACCATCTCCGAAACGGCTAGACCGATTTTGATAAAATTTTATATGTATATTCAGTAGGTCTGGTTTGGTTTGGTTTGGTCACAACCTATTCCCAGGTTATCTATTTTTTATACCCCTAAGTGATAAGAGTGGTCCACCCCAACTTTTTTTTTATTTTTTAGACAATTTTTTTTTTATTTTAATTGTTTTATAGGGAGTGCTTATTTTTTAGGGGGTGCATGTCCAAAATTTTCTTCTGGGTACTCACTTTCATCACTTAAGGGACCTCTGTACAAAATTGCATATTCCTAGTCCTAGAACGGATTTTACATAAAAATTATACAAATTTTTACCCTTAGTTTTATCCCCTTAAGAAACGAATTCAAAAATCGCTCTAATTATTCAATTACGCTACATAATAAACCTCTGTGCAAGTCTCATATTCCTTGAACAGAATTTATTGTTCCAGAACGTTCAACCCCTCATTTCACACCCTTAGAGGGGCGAATTTCCAAAAATTGCTTCTTAGTGCTAAATTACGTTACATAAGGAACGTCTGCAAAATTCATACTTCTAAAACCGATTTTAACAAATTTTTTGTACAAATTTTCATCCCTTATTTTTACCCAAGGGGATGCATGCCTAAAATCTGCTTCTAGGTACTCACTTTCATCATTTAAGGGACCTCTGAACAGAATTTCATACTCCTAGTCCTAGAACGGATTTTACATAAAAAATTATACAAATTTTTTCACCCCTAGTTTTACCCCCCTTAAGGAATGAATTCCGAAAATCACTCCCTAATTATTCAATTACGCTACATAAGGAACCTCTGTGCAAATTTTCATATTCCTTCAACAGAATTGTTTCAGAACGTTCACCCCTCATTTCACACCCTTAGAGGGCGAATTTCCAAAAAGTGCTACTTAGTGCTAAATTACGTTACATAAGGAACGTCTGTGCAGAATTTCATAAACTTCTAAAACCGATTGTAACAAACTTTTGTACAAATTTTCATCCCTTATTTCTAGGGGATGAATGTCAAAAATTAGCTTCTGGGTAC